CATTTGCAACAGCATGGATGGAACTGGAGAGCATTATGCTAAGTGAAATTAGCCAGTCAGAGAAAGATAAATACCACATGATCTCACTCATTTCTGGAATATAGAGAACAACATAGACTGATGAACAGGGACAGATCCAAAGACAGAGAAACAGCGATCTGACTGTCAATTCCCAGAGGGAAAGTAGGGGAGGGTGGGGGTAAGGGGAAGAGATCAACCAAAGGACTTGTATGCATGCATTTCAGCGAAACCAATGGATATGGACAACAGGGGGATGAGAACATGAGTGGGGGGTGGGGGGGGTTGGTGGTTAATGGAGGGATGAGGACACATTTGTAATACCTTAACCAATAAAGAAATTAAAGATAAAAAAATAAAAGCAGTTCCTGCTAACTTTGGAAAGTAAAAAAAAAAAGCTCAACAGTATGAAAAAAGATATAGTAACTATGAACAAAGAACAGTCTGAGATAAAGAATGACATAACACAAATAAAGAACACATTGGAAGGAATACACAGCAAATTAGGGGAAGCTGAGGATCAAATCAGTGAATTAGAAGACAGAGTTGAAAATATCAATTAGAAAACCAAAAAGAAAAAACAATTAAAAAACAGGAGGACAGCTTAAGAGAGCTGTGGTACAATGTGAAATGTAACAATATTAGAATAGTAGGTGTGCCAGAAGAGGCAGAAATGGAGAAAGGCATAGAGAAGGTGTTTGAAGAAATAATGATAGAAAACTTCCCCAACCTGGTAAAGGAAAAAGTCACACAAGTTCAGGAGGCACAGAGAACCCCAAACAAGAAGAACCTAAACAGACCAACGCCCAGACACATCATAATTAAAATGCCAAAAATTAAAGACAGAGAGAATCTTAAAGGCAGCATGAGAAAAGAAAAATGTTACCTACAAAGGAGTTCCCATAAGGCTGACACCTGACTTCCCATCAGACACTCTACAGGACAGAAGGGAATGGCATGAAGTACTCAAGGTAATGGAAAGCAAGGATCTGAGTCCAAGATTACTATATCCAGCAAGGCTATCATTCAAAATAGATGGCCAAATAAAGAGCTTCCCAGACAAAAAAAGGCTAAAGGGGTTCATTACCACCAAGCCAGAATTATAAGAAGTGCTAAAGGAATTGCTGTAAGGGATTGCTGAGAAGAAGAAACAGAGAGAAAAACCTAGCTATACAGAATTAAAATGGCTATAAATAAGTATCTCTCAATAATTACCCTAAATGTAAATGGATTAAATGCTCCAATCAAAAGGTATAGAGTAGCTGAATGGATACAAAAGCATGACCCAACTATATGCTGTCTACAAAGACCCACCTCAAAACCAAAGACACACACAGGATGAAAGTGAAGGGATGGAAAAAAATTTTCCATGCAAATGGAAAAGGAATAAAAGCTGGAGTAGCAATACTCATATCTGACAAAATAGACTTTAAAAGCATCATGCTAAGAGAAATAAGCCAGTCGGAGAAAAATAAATATCATATGATCTCACTCATTTGTGGACTATAATGAATAACATAAACTGATGAACAAAAATAGAAAGAAAAAAATTCTAGAATACAATAGAAGTAATCCTGTTATTTGCAGATTTTTAATATTTCCTACAACTTTTGTGATATCATACTATGCTAGTACAGTTTTGGTAATACTATACTTAAAATTCTTTTATTCTTGAAATATTAATGTTTATTGCTTGTAATATTATTATATGTAAGATCATTTTTCTTAAATAATTGATGTTTATTGCATGTAACATTGTCATATTTAAAATCATTTTTCTTGAGATATTACTGTTTATTGCATGTAGCATTATTATATTTAAAATCGTTTTACTTGAAATTAAAAAAAAACTGGAAAAAATAAACTTCCTTAGAATCATGAATCTTTTCCATGTGCCCAAATCACTTAAAATTTTTGGTGTTGTATCTCTCTTACCACTGACCTATAAAAGCCCTGGAGGCCAGGCACCATGTCTGATTTGTTCACGATTGACTTCCTGCTGCTTAAAATAGTGCCTGGCAAATAGACACAAGTTATTTGTTGAATGAGTAAATGCAAATGTAGAAGCAATTTATTAAAAAAAAAACACAACCCAGCCCATCATCCTTCCATGGCATTGCATAGTATTTCATGCTTGCCTAAGAGCAGCTATTGTAGGGGGGAGGGTTTGATGAACTTAAGCAACCTGACAGAAAATAAGGAACTCACTCAACATGTAACTCTAACCAGGGACATATCTTTAAATTATCTGCTGATTCCTTAGAAATTTTTTACATTTTACATAGTTGTAATTCATGTGTTAACTTTTAATTCTTCTTTTTATGAATTCCCACATTTAATCATTGTCTGCTTGTTATATTTAAAGGTAACATAGAGTTACATCAATAGATCATGATTTTCTTAGCCATTTTCTAACTGTTAGGCTTTTTTGGTTAGTTCTGAATGTTTGGTATGCTATGAATAGAAATAATGCAAAAACTCTTCATAAATAACTTTTTATTTCAAATTATCTCCTTGAGGAGTATAAAAGAGGAATCAAAGCATATGACCAATTTATATTCCTTCATATAGATAGCCAGAGAGTTCTGAAAGGAAAGAATCAATATGTAATACCATTGAAAATGTATAATATAAGCCTCTAATTCCAGGTAGCCCTACCAACATTGGGTTTTATAGTAGTTTAAATTGATTTCTTGAAGAGTAGTAGATAATAACTAATATTTATTGAGCTCTTTCTATGTGCCAGAGACTTCTAAAGATTTGACATGAATTTTCATATTTAATAATCACTATAAACCTATAAGGTAGATACTATTATTATCCCCCTTTCATTTATTTTTTAGTAGTAGTAGTAGTAGTAGTAGTGCCATCTCCCTTTTAGAGATGAAAGAACTGAGGCTGTGAGTTGCCCAAATCAAGTAAATTAACACAGTTTACATGTAGATGTACTGATCCAGAACTTGTACTCTTTTTTTTCAATCCTTACCCAAAGATATTTTTTCCATTGATTTTTAGAGAGAGTGGAAGGGAGGGAGGAAGGAGGTGAGAGAGAGCGAGAGAGAGAAACATCAATGTAAGAGAGGAGGTGCCCCCACTGGGGTGGAGATTGAACTCGCAACTCAGGTACATGCCCTTGACCAGGAATCGGCAGACACTCTAACCACTGAGCCATACCAGCCAGGACAGAACCAGTACTCTTAAACACCATGAGGTAATGTTTTCTGATTGTTGGTGGTAATGTTTTATTTTTTTACCCAAAAAGAAAAATTACTATTAAAAATAAAAACTGAAAGTAGCCTTTCTGGTGTCAGAAGTATGGCATAATTTATTGCTAGTAAGGTCATTGTTTTGTTGAGGTAAGTATCTAGATGGACCTTTTGCCTAGGAAAGATCAACTCCCTGAGTTTAGCCTGAGTGGGCCATGAGGATACAAAGAGATCAGTTACTCCGCATAATAAAATGGGAGAAATTTAAATGTCCATCATATGCCCTAGAAAAGAATGAGCCTGGGAAAGAAAAAGGTGGAGCGAGGTTGGTGAAAAGAACTGAGATGGGATGTATCCCAGAAACATGGCAGGAGGCAGGGGACTTCCAGAGGACATGGCTGATGAGAAGTTTCCTGAGATAGTAGAGAAAGGCTATTATTTCCATAAGCAGTCATGTATGCATTGAATTTGAAGTTGTTTTCTGCTTTGCACTATAGCCTTCCATTAACTCTAAACATTTCATGCAATTTGAATCCAACCATCTGTCTTAGTGGAGGGCTATTTGGAGGAATGAAGGATGAGGAGTGGCACATTATGGGCAAGAGGGCAACAGCCAAAGGGTCAGGGGACAGTAGACAAGCAGGCTGCATTATAGGCAGACCCAGGATACACAGAAGCAATCTTGGAAACCCTTGGAGAAATTGAGGTCTCAGGACTTCCCGCAGTGGTTGAGAATGGGGCGTGGGCCATTTTGTATTAAAAGAGTGATCTCTAAACTTAAGTTGTTTGGAGTTGTCCAGGTTGGAAACTTCTGGGTTATAGTCAAGTGAGAAAGAACTTTGTTGAACCTCAATAAAAGAATTGTGATTTATTAGCAGCATTGGTCAGTCTCCTCCGTGGATATACGGTAATTAGCTTCCAGAACACCAGACTCTTCCGGTTTTCTTCCTACCTCATCAGGCACTCCTCAGTTTCCTTCGAGAGTCCCTCCTTTTCTTCCTGATCTCTTGTTGACAGTGTGCCTTAGGGCTCAGGCCTCCATTCTCCTCTCTATCGACACTCAGTCGCTTGATGGCCTCATCTACTCTCATGCTTTAAATACCATCCATATGCCAACAGTTCCCAGATTTATATCTCCCAGACTCCTCTCCTGAACTCCAGACCCATATAATCTATTGTTCACTTGAAATCCCCACTTAGAGGTCTAAAACCCATCTCAAACTTAACATTTCCAATATTACATTTCTGATCTTCTGTTCAAAAACTTCACTCATGGCCTTTTTAATTTCAGTTGATGGCAACTCTATCCATCCTTTCGAGCCCCAAATCATGGAGTTTTCCTTTATGAGTGTTTTTCTGGTATATTCTATCTTGAATTTGACAGGAAGCCCTATTGTTTTTACCTTTAGAATATATCCAGAATTTTTCCATTTTCACCATCTACTTCTACCACCAAAGTCAGAGCCACCATCGTCTCTCAGCTGGTTGTCACAGAAGTCTTCTAACTGACCTCCCTGCTCCGACCTTTCCCTCCCTACCAGCCAAGGGTTATCCTTTTTTTTTTTTTTTTTTTTTCTATTTAAAATACTGTTTATTTGTGATTTCACATTAATTAGCATTACATCTAAGAGCAATATCAGATATCATTTATACATTTTCCACAGGACACAGAAATTCATTGGCTCATTCTTTATGCCAAAGCAAGTAAATAGAGGCATTAGCAAAAGGTGCAAATAGTTCACTGTTGTAGTTTAAAAAATATTAATGCACGCTGCATTCATTTAAGATATATATATATTTAAAAAGTTATGGAAAAGCATAGTTCACAGGTTACTGTTTCTACATTACATTGTAATACAACATAAATGATGTAGAACATAAAAAACCCTCAAATACAGAATTAAACTGAAAGTGTGCACTAAGAGATTAAAACACCGATTCCAGTAGTTGGTGAGATTTAGGATGAAATTTCCAGCTGTTTCAACTTTGCTCATCATGCACACACAGCCAAACAGAGCCAGCCCAGAACACACAGTTAACAATGTAATATTTTCATGCCAACTCATCCTCCAGAAACACTTTGGATTATTTTTACCCACTGATCACTTTCGATCATTGATTTTACATTGATTTGTGACATCACTTGGGTGAAGGGGGAAAAAACCATATTAATCCTAGGTTTAATTTTTTATTTACATTAGAAAGAAAATTAACTGAAAGGATAAAAACATTTGTAAAAATTAAGAAGTGGTAGTTTTATCACTAGGGGAGGGAGGTTAGACCTACTGACTTTTTCTAGTGCTGCCTTCTAACGATACATCAGTTCCAAGTATATGACCCTTTATAACTGAACTAACAACCAAGAAATACAAAGATTTTGGTAGAGAAGCAGAATTTTAGAAATTTGGGACTGGTTTCGAATAAATTACACTTCAAATCCTATTGTGACTGTGAGTCATTATCAAACTAGAATTCTTCTATTCATGACCCCTCATTTGTCCCCTCCATTCTTTCTTCACTTTCTCATTCTTTTCCATTTCATTTGGTTATCATATGAGAGCTTCTTCATTCATTAGCAATACTAAGAGAAAAATACATTGTAAGGTTCAAATATGAATCTAGTTATACCTTAAATCCTCTAATCATGTTGATACCAAGTCCCTGGATTCTTGAGTTATATTTGAGTATATTTAGTACCAAGCAGCCTCAAATCTGCTCTGTTGTTAAATGATTGGCTAATTTGCTTATGACATTTTTATACTGAATGGTATACAAACATCTCGACATACAAAAATCGTTTTTGCCAGAGTTAAACTAAATAACCCATGGTAAGTGTACAAAATCCCCTTTGTTGAAAAATAAGGGGCTTTCTAAATGAATAAAAAAGGACGTTCTCAAAAATTATATTTTACTAAAATGGCCTTTTTTGGCAAACAAAGTTACTTCAGGTGAGGAAATTTTATACTATGAATAAAATTCCAAATGAATCTTTTCTTATATATATTTTTTTAAAAAAGTATGTGCCAGTGTATACTAATGCTATAGATGCTTATCTTAGAAGCTTTTTAAAGCATTCTATTAATGCCCATTGAAACAATGGGAACCAAAAAGGTACAGTCGATAATAAATGATAAAAAATTATAATCTGATTACCAAGTAAAGCAGGTGTAGAGAAATAAAAATTCTCTCCCTTGTTCACTGGTAATTTCTTTCCAACAGATATAGAGAAGGCCTGAAGTAATTCAGACAGATATCTGTTTGTGGTGAGTTATAACACTTCATGAAGGTAGCGCTAATCAAAACTAGCAATTTTTTAAAAATTCAAAGCCTTTTTTGACATATAAAACGAGAGATGAATTTGAAAGCTTTTCTTCATAATATGTTTTTCTTTTAGTAAAACCCCTTTCCAGTTCTCAGAGTCCAGTTTGCTACACCCCCCCCATCTGATCTACCACTGCATATTAATGATCAACTTAAATGTGGTATTTAAATGTGCAACGTCACATTGTAATAATAATAATTATAAAAAGACTTCCTTTAGGCTTCGACTTTCTCCTTTTTTTTGTTCTTTTTCAGAAAAGAAGGAGTACGGAATTTCTTCTTTTTCTTGGATGGTGATTTTGAAGGCGAGCCTTCAGGTGACAGGACTTCTTCAATTTTCTCAGGAGACTTAATGGTAATCTCTATGTTTTCTATGGTTGTGCTTGTGGTTAACCTGCTTACTTGCTTAGCAAGCTCATCCTCAACATCATGCATGTCATCCTTGCCGTTCACTACCATGACAGGCACTTCCATGGAGATGAAGCTCTTGGAAAATAGCTCATGGTTTTCTTCTAATTTTTCAGGGATATTTTGCGGTGACTGAGTTTGAGACTGAATTTGTGAAACACATGAAGCGTCATCTGAGAGTAATTCCTGCTCAGCATCTTCCAGGCCTTGCTGTTTACGTTCGATTGTCTTCTTATACTCTTCAAGTTCTCCTTCTGTGAGATGGCTAAAGGGGTTGGGAGGAGCTGGTGGGCTAAGATCATCATCTTCGAACTGCATGGTAGATGGAGGCTTATCTACAACAATTCCAGCAAGTAACTGAGATTGCGGTCCTGCTGTTTTCAGGTCATATCGGTTTTGTTCTCGAATCTTGTTTCTCTTTTCTAGTACGTCATTTGGGTTTGTGTTTAAAGGAACAAACTGATTTGGATCTTCAATTTTGATAGGTGTTCCACTGCTAAATTTAGAAGAGTCCTCTGCTTTCATCCATGTGATTTTGGTCCTGGGACTGGTTTCCCCATTCCGAGACTCCTCAGGCACATTCACTTTCATGTAAGTATTTGGTGAATTCAGCCATCTGGTTTTCTCACGCTGCTGTTTCTGTGCCATGTATTTGAGAGGAGAGAGTGGTACTGTATCGTCTTCAAAGGAAAAAGCAGTCACAGTTGCTGGAATTTCCACATCACTCTTGTGCCTAGGCTTCTCTCGAATAAGAGGATGCCTATATGCATAGCCTGTCCTGTATCCCAAATTGTCCAGAGTCCTCATCAGTCCTTCAAATTCAATCTCGCCAACCTTCCATTTTTGATGGGAACCCATGTTCACTCCCCCTCCTCCAGACACTGCGATGGTGTGAGTGAAAGCTTTATATTTCTGAAGATCCAGTACAACCAGATTGTCTACTCCACCTGCCCCTGCTAATGCCCGAACCTGAATCTCACAGGCCATTTGCACATTAAAAATATAATGAAAAGCCTCCTCAACTGTTTCTCCAAGTGCTACCACACCGTGATTTCTGAGTACCAGCACCTTACAACTTGGCCCCAGAACTTTCTGCAGTTGAATTCTCTCCTCCTGTTCATCAAGTGACCCTTGATAGTCATAATAGGCAACATCTCCCAGGATCAGGGACTCTTGAGAAATTGGAAGGATTCCACATTTCATGGAGGATACAGCTGCTGTTGCAAGGGTATGGATGTGTATCACACACTTAACATCAGGACGTGTTGAATAGATTGCAGCATGGGGACTGAATCCTGCATAGTCAATTTTCAAGTTAGTACTTCCCTGATCAACCACTTCTCCTATTATATTGACTTTCACCAAATTGGAGGCTGTGGCTTCAGAAAAAGACAGGCCTCTGGGAATTAGGATAATGTGGTCTTGCTCCTTACTTATTCTTACTGAGATGTATGTGTTTGCCAGGTGTGCCCATCCAAACAAGTCGACAAGTCTGTACAGGCTGGCAAGTTTACAGCGAGTAAGTTTCTCTCCCTTCACGTAGGAGGATGTATCTGCCCCAGGAAGATCATTGATAGGTGTGACCATGCCGAGACTCAGGGGAGGTGAAGTAAAGCCCGAAAAAGAACTGGCCATGATGTAATCTGCAATCTGCTGTAATGCTAGTAATCCAGTCGGGTTTTGGCCTTTCTTCATCTGTTCTTGAATAAGGCATTCCAGGTCTTCCCGAAAGGCAGGACTTTGCAAGATCTGAGTAACTCGTTTCCTCTGTTCCATCATATTGAAGTCTTGTCGTAGATCAGGAGACATGTTCCTCTCTCTGATGTATTCTGGGTCATTTTCATTGATGCGGTCAAAATACCTCTCTTTGTGAGGCATGCTGGGAGGAGGAGGAGTAGTGATCACGCCTTGGCTGGCATCTGAACTCATGCTTCAAGCCTTCTGATTCCCCTTATCTCCGAGCGCGCAGCCGGCTTTGTGCTCCCCTCCCTTTCTCCGCGGCCGCCGGCGCTGCAGCGGCCGTCTGATCCGCCGCCGCCGCTTCTTAAGCGCCCCAAGGCTCCAGCGGGGAGGGCAGGAAAGGGGAGGAGGCGTGAGGAAGGTGGGACTAGGAGCCGAGCCCCGGGCAGCAGGAAGCGGCGACACCTGAGTCGCCGACGCCTCTCGCTCCGGTTCTCAAAAATATCATTTAAACCCCACTCCTTCCCCGCGCGCCCCGAGTGCTGACGACCGTTACGGGCGGCGGACCGCGGTCTGGGGTTATCCTTTTAAAACCTGTATAATAAAAGCTCATTATTTACTCCCCTCCTTCCCATTTCATTCAGAGTAAAAGCTGAAATTCTTACAATGGGCTTACATGATCTCTCCATCCCCCACGATCCTGTGCTGCCCAACGTTACCTCTTTAATCTCATTTCCTTAGTCCTGCTCCCTGCTCCCTTATTCTCTCTCTTCAGCTACACCTGGGTCCTTGCGGTTTCTGAACAAGCCAGGCACTCCCCCACCTTAGACCTTTTATGTTGGCTACTCACTCTGCCTGGAATGCCCCCACAAAGTTATTCTCTCACTTTGTAAAATATTAACTTCTCAATCAGACCTTCCCTGACCATCCTCTGTTAACTGTGACATCTCATCAGCATTTCCAATCCCACTTTTTCTTTTGCTCTACATTTTTCTTTTCCCCTGAGCACTTATCACCTTCTAATATAAAATGTAATTTATTTTTATTGCTTATTGTCTTATATCCCTTCTCTCACCAGTTAGAATATGTAACCTCATGAAGACAAAGATCTTTATCTGCTTTGTTCATTAAAATATCCCAAGCACTTAGCACAGTGTCTAGCCCTCAGTAGGTACTCAGTGATAATTATTAGAATAGACAAAGAAAAAAAAAGGAAATCTGTTATCCCTAGCAACGAATGAGAATCTGATTCTATAACTTTGTACAACACAGGCATTTTTCCTTTAGATCAGGGATCAGCAAACTTTTTCTTAAAGGGCCAGGTAGTAAATAGTACAGATTTATGGATTATGTGAACTCTGTTTAACTACTCAATGCTGCCTTTGGACCTCCAGAGCAGCCAGAGACTATATATAAACAAATAGGCGTGGCTGTGTTCCAATAAAACTATTTGGGAAAATAAACAGGTGGCCAATAGGCAGTACAGGTACTTTACTGATTGAGACAAATATATATCAGGGTAAATCATAGCACTTTATTGACAGGCTAGGCTCTATCCACCCACTCTACCAATTGCCAAAAACAAAAATTTAGAAAGGTGAATGCAAACTTACCAAAATTACAGATCAGTAATTTCTCTGCCTGAGACAGACGGAGCATTCCTTATTCAAAGTGGCCACTGAATAAGATGTGAGTTGAGGGTAGGGGGTTGGGAGAGAGAGAATCCTGTTATCAGCCACTTTCTTGCTAAGGAGACATCCAGAGTACATTATCTGTAACTTTGGAGTATCCTTCAGAGGTTTCTAATATGCAGAATGATCTACTTCTGGAGCCTCTTGTCTCCATGCCATTAGTTCTTTGGCACTGATGATGTATTTCCCGTGGTAAGGAAACCATTTTTACATTTGTCAGCTATTCTTAAAGTCAGTGGATTGATGCAGTTGGTTATGATAATACCTGCTCATCTCTTGCCATCTAGTGATTCTAGTGATTCTCGGTCAGGAGCATCCCCCCTCCCCCGAGGGAACATGTGGCAATGTCTGGAGACGTTTTGGGTTGTCACAACTGGAGTGGGAGGTGCTGCTGGATCAGGTGAGCAGAGGCCAAGGATGTGGCTAAGCATCCCAGAAGGCTCAGCGTAACCCCCATACAAAGAACTATGCAGACCAAAATGTCACGTAGTGCTGAGGTTGGGAAACTTATCTAGACTATTCTGCTAGACTTTGAATCTACCTTGTACTCCACTGCCAAACCAATATTCCTAAACCATTGAATTTATCCATTATTGCCAAGCTGCAATATCTCCTCATTGCTTGAAAGATCAAGTCTCTTCTTCTTATTCTGGTGTTTAGATCCTGAGGGATTTTGCACACTTACAAATCCATTCCTCAGCGGGAATTCTGCTTCTCCAAGCTTTCATTGGCACCATCCTCCATACCACCATCCTTTTACAGATATTCCCTCCAAAACACACATCTTGTGAGGATTCTCCCTACATGTCTCCTACCCAAACTTACTCATTCTTTGAAACACACATGTGTTGCACATGCCTCTGCCACTGAGCCAGTCTATACCACTCCCTTTTGTGTTTACCATGAGGTCACATGCCTTACATTGTTATATAGCTATTCCCTTTACATTGTCTTCTCAATAAATTCCCTGAAGGAGTCATATTGTATTTCTGGCCTGTTAGTTTCAGTTTCCACAACATGAGGTATGCAAACTATATTGTTGTATTGAGAGTCAAATGAGATGAGTATAAAAGCATCTTGTATAGAACCTGGTACCCAGTTAAGTGCTCAGAAAAGTATAGTATTTCTATACAAGCATACATTCCAGAGGCCATAGAAAGTGCTTAATGAATCTTTTAAATATAGTAGTTACATACTGGAGAGAGTGTGCATTCAGACTAGCCTGGTATTTAGAACTGAGAGCAAAGAAAAACTTCCATCAGAAATCCTACACCAATTAACACATCTTCATGCTAGAGTGAATCCAGGAGCCTGGGTGTCACATCTCCTCAAAGTGGTACTTATGCCAACATTTCTACATTTAGCAACTTAATGCACCCCAACAAAGTCAACTAAAACTTTAAAAGTAAATCTTTTCTTTTTTAAGTTTGGGAACCAAAATAGGATTTCCAACTTGTAAATTTTTTCAGATAAAGATATCTGAAAGTTGTACTACTAACTAACATCACTATCATTTTATGACAGATAACAAAGAGGAAGGCTATAAAATAAGAATAAAAAGAAGTTGCTGAGAAACCAAGATGGCGACATAGGTTAACGCCGGAGTTTGCTGCCTCGAACAACCATTTCAAAAATACAACTAAAAGACAGAACGAACATCATCCAGAACCACAGGAAGGCTGGCTGAGTGGAAATTCTACAACTAGGAGGAAAGAGAATATCATACCCAGACTCAGAGGAGGCGTAGTGCTGAAGTGAAATACTCAGGTACGGAGTGCGCACGCGGAGCGGGCTGGCGGCGGAGGGTGCGGTTGTTGTTTTCAATCGGGAGGGAGTTTCAGACTCTGAGCTCCAGATCCGGGCGAGTCTCTAGGGACCCAGACTCAAACTGGAGAAGCGGGACTGTCTGGCTTCGGTCGGAACTCGAAGGCAGCTTTCTCTCCGAGGTTTGCAGAGGTTGCTGGGACTCTGTGAGGCAGAGTCCCTGGGGACGGAACTGAGAGCAGCCATAACTGCTCGCTCCGCCCACCCTGTAGATCCCCGGGGACCCGCCCCGCCCAAGCCCTGCACTGAGGCATTTGCCAGATAGCCTCAGGCAAACACTAGATTAGCACCGCCCTAGAGATCCAGCACAGAAGCTCTCCCACTGCAGACACAGCTACTCTCATAGCAAGTTAGCCTGGAGGTCAAATCACCCCCGGTATTGCCGCCAACAATCAAGGCTTAACTACAACAAGACTGCACACAAAGACCACAAGGGGGTGCACCAAGAAAACATAAATAATGCGGAGACAAAGAAACATGACAGAAATGGAGGATATAGAGCTAAAAAAACGCACTTTTAAGGTCTTTCAATAATTTCCTAGAAACTGCCGATAAATGTAGTAAGATCCTCAAGAAATCTAATGAGACCCTCGATGTTGTGATAAAGAACCAACTAGAAATTAAGCATACACTGACTGAAATAAAGAATATTATACAGACACCCAACAGCAGACCAGAGGAGCGCAAGAATCAAGTCAATGATTTGAAATGCGAAGAAGCAAAAAACACCCAACTGGAAAAGCAAAATGAAAAAAGAATCCGAAAATACGAAGATAGTGTAAGGAGCCTCTGGGACAGCTTCAAGCGTACCAACATCAGAATTATAGGGGTGCCAGAAGATGAGAGAGAGCAATATATTGAAAACCTATTTGAAGAAATAATGACAGAAAACTTCCCCCACCTGTTGAAAGAAATAGACTTACAGGTCCAGGAAGCGCAGAGAACCCCAAACAAAAGGAATCCAAAGAGGACCACACCAAGACACATCATAATTAAAATGCCAAGAGCAAAAGACAAAGAGAGAATCTTAAAAGCAGCAAGAGAAAGAAACTCAGTTACCTACAAGGGAATACCCATACGACTGTCAGCTGATTTCTCAACAGAAACTTTGCAGGCCAGAAGGGAGTGGCAAGAAATATTCAAAGTGATGAATACCAAGAACCTACAACCAAGATTACTTTATCCAGCAAAGCTATCATTCAGAAGTGAAGGTCAGATAAAGAGCTTCACAGATAAGGAAAAGCTAAAGGAGTTCATCACCACCAAACCAGGATTATATGAAATGCTGAAAGGTATCCTTTAAGAAGAGGAAGAAGAATAATAAGGTAAAGATACAAATTATGAACAACAAACATGCATCTATCAACAAGTGAATCTAAGAATCAAGTGAATAAATAATCTGATGTACAGAATGAACTGGTGATCATAATAGAATCAGGGACATAGAAAGGGAATGGACTGACTATTCTTGGGGGGGGGAAGGGGTGTGGGAGATGCGGGAAGAGACTGGACAAAAATCGTGCAACTATGGATGAGGACAGTGGGTGGGGAGTGAGGGCGGAGGGTGGGGCGGGAACTGGGAGGAGGGGAGTTATGGGGGGAAAAAAGAGGAACAAATGTAATAATCTGAACAATAAAGATTTAATTTAAAAAAAAAAAAGAAGTTGCCTAGCCGGTGTGGCTCAGTGTTTGAGCATTGACCTATGAAACCAGGAGGTCACGGTTTCATTCCCGGTCAGGACACATGCCCTGGTTTCAAGCTCAATCTCCAGTAGGGGCCATGCAGGAGGCAGCCTATCACTGTGTCTCTCTCAGCATTGATGTCTCTCTGTCTCTCTGTCTCTCTCTCTCTCTCTCTCTCTCTTTCTCCTATCTTCCTCTCTCTCTCTAAAATAAATTAAGACATATTAAAAAGCCGAAACCGGTTTGGCTCAGTGGATAGAGCGTCGGCCTTCGGACTGAAAGGTCCCAGGTTCGATTCCGGTCAAGGGCATGTACCTGGGTTGCGGGCACATCCCCAGTAGGAGATGTGCAGGAGGCAGCTGATCGATGTTTCTCTCCCATCGATGTTTCTAACTCTCTATCTCTCTCCCTTCCTCTCTGTAAAAAATCAATAAAATAAATTTTAAAAAAAAAAGACATATTAAAAAAAAAGAAAACCTAGTTAATGAACAGCTTGTCAATGACACTTTGCCCACTCTGACCCAATTTAGAAGGCTGCCAATAGGGTAAGACATAAATATGCTACACTCTGCTTTGCTGGGGTCACAACTGTGTCTGCTCTAAGAGCTTTTTCTACCAGCCACTGGAGGAGAGTCTGATGTGAGAAGTCAGTACCAGTGGGATGAGGCTGCCGTGAGGGCCTGACCTTTCCCCAAGTGGAAGAGAGAGCCTTGTTTCAGATCCTGTGAGAGAAGTGAGTGGGGCATGGTATTCTGAGCAGCCCAGGTTTGGCTTTGGGCCAGGCACTGAGTGGCAAACAAGAAGGAACACATTCCAGGAAGGCAAAGAGCCCTGCCAATGTGAAGGCGGCCCAGCAAGAAGGGCCTGCTGGGTGCTAGGTGCTCTTTGGCTCTGTGGAGGTCAGGCACACAGAGGGATGGATTCAGGTTTCTCTGGATTATCATTTCAGAGGCTTAATTAACTGCTTCCCTTCCTCTCACTGTCAGTGGACAAATCAGATGTAACTCTTAAATTGGAATCCTCTCTGCCTTGGGACTCAGTCCCTTATCTTTAACTGAAGGAAGAGGGAAAGAGTGTTGTTACCTCCTGAAATCACACTTTGCAGGAGTCAGGTTTCTGTAATTCTATGTCCTGAGTAAAAGGAGAGGCTACTGACAATGAGGGCAGGTCAGGGTGAAAGCCCAAGATTTCTGTGCCCTTGATGGAAGAGAAGCTGAGCTCTCACCCCTGTGGACTCTGTATCCCCAAACACAAACATTCACATTGTTTTTTCACCCAGGCCAGTCTGCCTTCCTACAGGCCTGACCTGCAGAAGGCCTGGAGGGTCCTCAGGAATGCTTTCCTTTCAGAATCGCCTTGGGCCTTCCTCCTGGCTGCGAAAGAAGAGAAAGAGGAGAAAAGACTAAAGGGTTCAGGGAAGAAGCGGCCACGTGAGCCTGTTGGATAGGCAGTGCAATGGACTTGGACCAGGCCTGGGCTCATTTTCACCCCAAAAGGGGACAGAAGGGGCATTTCTTTGAAAAAGAAGAATGAAGTCCATTCCTCACCACCTGGGCTCCAGTTCCTGTTGGACTTTGCTGCCACCTAGTGGCTTAGTTGCATTTCTTCCCCTCACACGTAGACCAGCCTAAAGACCTGGCCTCAGTCTTGCCTTTCTTTGCCTTAGTATCGTCCCCTGATTCTGTGGCCCAGCAGCTAGGAGAGCCGAGCAGCACAGATTTACGACCTCACCCAGCTTGATAAGTGTCCTAATGCCATGACCAGCAGGTAGGAGGGCCAGGGTTGGGATGGCTGGGCATCTGGGTGGAGACAGTGAGGGTGGGAGCAATGTCTTGCTCCCACGACTTCTCCTGCAAGATGCAGTTTTCCCCAGCTCTCCTCATTCCTGAATGCCCTTTTCACTAGAACTCCTGCCCCTTCCATTACCATTCCTCATATCTGGCTAAAGCCCATGTTGCAAAACTGAAGCTCCTGCATTATTTATATACAAATATATATAAATTCATATATATATATGTATATATGTATATATATATATATATATATGCGAATTTCTTGTTTATCCAAATTCAAGGCAGTTGTTTCTCCCTCATAAAGTTAGCTCACTTCAACTTAAAAATATCAATGTGAAATTATATGCCCTCTCTGTGATTCTGCTACTATGGACCAGTCTCTAGGAATAGAGAAAGGGGGACACCATCACATGTCGATTATCAGCCATATTTTTCTGCACATTGCACCCACAGGTTTATTTCCTCTAGCAAAGAGAAGCACTGGTTTCAGCAACCACTGAATCTACTAGCTCTAAACTTTTAGATCTGAGCTGGGATCATATAAAACCCAAACTCCCTTCTCCTGCCTACCTCTCCAACCTCTTTTTTAAAAAAATATTTTAAATTATAAAATACATATAAAATTTACTGCCTTGCCCTAACCGGTTTTGCTCAGTGGTTAGAGCATCGGCCTGTGGACTCGGGTTCGATTCCGGTCAAGGGCATATACCTTGGTTGTGGGCACATCCCCAGTGGGGAGTGTGCAGGAGGCAGCTGATGTATGTTTCTAACTCTCTATCCCTCTCCCTTCCTCTCTGTAAAAAATCAATAAAACATTTTTTAAAAATTTACTGTCTTAACCATTTCAACTGTATAGTTTAATAGTTTGAAGTGCATTCACGTTATTGTGCAACAATCACTACCATCTGTCTCCAGATCTCTTTTCATCTTGCAAAACTGATACTCTATACCCTTTAAACAATAATTCTCTATGCCCCTTCTTGCAGCCCCTGGCAACCACCATTCTTCTCTCTGTTTATATGGATTTGACCACCCTAGGAACCTCATATAAGTAGAATCACATGGTATTTGTCTTTGTGTCTGGCTTATTTCACATAGCATAATGTCCTCAATGTTCACCCATGTAGTAGCACGTGTCAGAATGTCCTTCCATTTTAAGGCTGAATAATATTGTATTGATACACCACATTTTGTTTATCTATTCATCTGTTGATAGACACTTGGGTTGCTTCTATCTTTTGACTATTGTGGATAATGCTGCTATGAACATATGGCTCTTTGAAACTGTTCAGTTCTTTTGGGTATATAGCCAGAAGTGGCATTACTGGATCATATAGTTCTATTTTTAATGTTTTGAAGAACTGCCATACTGTTTCCACAGTGGCTACACCATTTTATATTCCTTCAAACAGAATATAAGGGTTCGAATCTCTCCACATCCTCACCAACTTTGGTTGTTTTCTGTTTCTTTGACAACAGCCATCCTAATGGGTGTGAAGTACCTGATCATGGTTCCTGTTTGCATTTGCCTAATGACTAGTGATTATGAGCATATTTTCATGTGCTTGTTTGCCATTTGTGTGTCTTCTTTGGAAAAATGTATATTCAAATGCTTTACCCATTTTTTAAATTAATTTTGAGAGAGAGAGAGAGAGAGAGAGAGAGAGAGAGAGAGAGAGAGAGAGAGAAAGGCGGGAAGAAAGAAACAATGATTTGTTGTTCAACTTATTTATGCATTCATTGTTTGATTCTTGTATGTGCCCTGACCAGGGATCGAACCTACAACCTTGGTGTATCCGGATGATGCTCTAACCAACTGACCTACCCACCCAGGGCCATTGGTTGATTCTTTTATTTTTTAAATGAATTTATTGATTTTTAAAGAGAGAGGAAGGGAGAGGAGGAGAGAGAGGGAGAGAGAGAGACACATCGATTGGCTATTTCCTGCATGCCCTCTATTGGGGATTGAGCCTGAAAACCAAGCATGTGCCCTGATGGGGAATAGAACCAGCAACTTTCTTGTACACAGGATGATGCCCAACTGAGCCACACTGACCAGGGCCATTGGTTGATTCTTGTATGTGCACTGACTGGGGATTGAACCTGCAACCTTGGTGTATGAAGACAATGCTTTACCCAACTGAGCTAACTGACCAAGGCCTTTACCTATTTAAAATAAGGTTGTTTGTTGTTGTTGAGTTGACCTCTTCAACCTCTTTTCATGTCACTGTCCCACTTGATTATATCCTAGAAGCATGAAAAAGATCTGTTTCTCACAGATATATGTATTCTTTCCCACCTTTTGCAGCTGCTAATCTATTTGCTAGGGATGCTCTTTTTACAGTTCCTCCAATGACTGGCCACTCCTCCTTTAAGAACTAGCTGAAATGTCCCTTCAGAGAATCTTTCTTTTTTTTAATCCTCACCAGAGGATATTTTTTCCATTGATTTTTAGGGAGAGTGGAAGAGAGAGAGAAAGACAGAGAGAAACATCAATGTGAGAGAAACACATCAATTGGTTGCCTCCTGCACAAGCCTTGACCTGGCTTCAGGCCTGAGGAGGAGCCCACAACCAAGGTGCATGCCCCTGACCAGAATCGAATCTGGGACCCTTTGGTCCGCAGGCCGACAGTCTATCCACTGAGCCAAACCAGCTAGGGCCAGAGAATCTTTCTTGACCATCATCTAAAGCCATTTCCCTATTTAATCTCATATCACTGTTTCTTTCCTTCCTGGAATTTAATCACAATCTGCAATTACCTCATTTGTTTACGTATTTACTTGGAACTTACATTTACATGGAATGCAAGTGCCAGGAAGATGCAGAAATACTGCCTAATGTGGTCAATGCTACAACCAGGGCCCAGCATAGTACCTGGTGCACAGTCTGGGCCCCATATTTACTGAATGAATGAATCCCTACTAATCTAGGTTTGATGTCACAGGAATTTTCTGGTGCTGAGTTCCAGACTTTAATTCTTGAGTCGGAAGCATAGTACTATTAAAATCATGGACATTGCTTTAGTTTCCCAGAAGAAATGGGGAAGCATTCTCTGTGTCTCCCCACCAGAGACAGAGACTGTGGCAGTTTGCTGTGGCCGTCCTTCCCCTTCACCATGTGCCTGAAGTAGAGTTAGCTTCACAATCTCAAAGTCCTGTGAGATTTGCAGAATACTTGGGATTCTGGGTATGACTTGGGCTTTATCAGTCTCCTTGGTGCCAGATATGTCAGTAAGAGTATCTTTAGTTAGTAGTCAAAAGATAAAAATGAACTCTCCATATCACAGGACACTAAAAAAAATCAGAATTATTTTATTTAAAAATATTTTCAAAGGCTAATGCCATAGTGGAACAAGCCACGGATAGTTGAACCAAACTCTCAGGGAATTAGAGGAGCATCACCCAATGCAAGCAGGTCTGTATAAATACACATAGTTTATAAATGAGCACAACAGAAGGTATACTGGCCCAAGAGAACCAGGCTGGAATACAAAAGGGAGAAACAGAGACAGGACCCTCCAGAGGGACAGGCACACCCAAACCACTGAAAGCCCTAGGCCCTGCGAGGGCCTGCAGAGCCACCTACCCTGCAGCATGCCTCTTGCCCTTTCTGAGCCTGGGGCATGGCTGGAAGCCATTGATCAGCATCTTGGCCCAGCCACCCATGACTTGGCATCTCTCATGGCCTCTGGTTCAACTTAGCAAGGCTCAGAGAATGGATCTATCCTCCTCACCCTTCAGCAAGGACCAAGGAGGTGAGGCTCTAGGGCAAATAGGATTATTTTCCTGAAAATAGGATGAAAAGGAGTGATGAAGGGGCCTGGTTCAAAAAAAAAAAAAAAAAAAAGGCTGGGTCCTCATTCAGTGTGGTGTGTGGGGAAAACAGAACAGTGAGTTTCACCTGAGATACACAGATTTGGTACAAGCAACCCACAAGGCCAGGCTCTAAATTTAATCCTACAACTTGGCATGCGGAGAAGATGAAGAGACCTTCAGTTTGAGCTTTGGAAGTTGTCACCTACCATCAGTCCCTCCAGTCCTCATGTGGGTTTGTCATAAACAGAACAGATGGTTCTGAAATAAATAATCTCCACTTGGACTTCTCCCTGGTTACCCTCTCAGGTGCCTGAAAAGGGGAAAACACCACTCACCCCATCACCAGTGACTTTCCCCGATGCTGCTGACCGCCTCACTAAGGCCCTTACAGAACCTTCAAAATCACTATCTTAGCAGAAGGGACTTCTGGGGAGAGCAGGCCAGAGTTCTGGGGCACAGCGAAGCTTTTTATACGAAAGACGACCTTGACAGAGAAGGAGGAATCTCTACAGCAAAGCCACCACTGTGTTTACCCTTTGCATCCTCTACTTCTACTGTCCCTAGAGGTATCAGGCAGACCCCCTTGGCTTGGTCCCTGTACTGTACCAGGCACACTTTGGACATCTTCACTTCATTCATGGATAACAGACCCCATAGAGTGGCTACAGGTAATACGAGTGATTTCTGCCCTATGGTGGCCCAACACCACCATGCCCAGCTACCCAGCCAAGCCTCCCAACAGGCTGCTATTGGCCACATCCAAGATCCAGGCAGTCAGGCAGAGAGAAAAAAGCAATACCGCAGATCAAAGACACCACCCTTGTCATACCTACTTTCCACCTGGGCATATTGGAAATGTTTGCGTACACCAAGGGGAGATCTGGTACCAGTCTATGATCAAAGGCCCTACTACACCTGTCTCACCAGGAAGTGGCAACTGAGGATATGGAATGCTCTGTTCTCCTTCACAGCTCCTCCACTGTCCGCTGCTCCAGTCCTCTCCGAACAGTCTCAGCACAGAGCACAAATGTTCCTTTCTTGAAGGAATCCTGGCTACAAGCCCTTTCATAATTTGCCCCCACTTCCCTATAGTCTGCCCTAGGCCAGATGGGTCCCTGCAGAGAAGTCCTTTGCCCAAAGCAGGGACTCTCAATATATGGGGAGAGAGAAGAGCCCACACTGGTGGTTTGGGTTCTAGCTCTGTCCCACCACGGAGTGAGCCATGTGACAGTCAGAGAGCTGCATTCCAGGTAGCAAAGCACGGCCTTGTCCCTTGGGGTGGTCTGTGTGCCAGAACTGTTTCTAAGGAACAAAGTAAATTTTTTTCCCCACGTAAGTGATTGTTGAATTTTCATGTACAGAATTCCTCAGCTGGTTCTAAAAAACCTGGCTTTTTGTCTGAGTTCAAAAATTGTAGGAACTTTGTAAACAGGTACTTCAGATCACTCATTGGAGGAAGGAGAAGAGTTGGGGGAAGAGGAGGGATCTGGAATGTTTTCCTTCATAGTCAGTCCCAGCACAACAGCAGCATCAGAAACCAAGGGGACCGTTGATGGAACCTTAGCACCCAAGGCATTCTTCATGGAGGAGCGGGGACAAAGGCCAAGTGGCTGTTACCTGCACATAGGAGAGATGCGTAGATCAAAGAAAGGGCTTAGAAGGTAGAGAGTAGGTCACTGAAACCACCCCCTACCCCTCATAAAGTGGGTCAGGTGGGAATCTGTGTACCCCACACACTCTGCCCAATCTTGCTTGGGACCATCAAGCCAGCTTATCAAGGGTAGGGCCAATTCAGCCAAGGTAACAAGCAGCCTGTCTGTAGGTTTTGGTCCCAGTCCTTAGCCCTGAATCCCAGAGGCATTGGGAAGAGAAAGGGCATCACCTGTGCCCAGGGACTGGGCCATCCCAATTCAGGGAGCATAACTGCTGTTCCAGCCGGGAAATGCGGAATGCCAGGTAGGATGAGGACATGACCAAGAAGCAGATCCTGGAAAAAAAGGGGGCAAGAGTTTTTCTCATCTAGAAAAAGGGCACTTTTTTGGAGCTCCAGTGGCGCAATCGGTTAGCTCGCGGTACTTATAGAAAAAGGGCACTTTTAGAGGCTCACCAAAAGTAGGAGTGGGACTAAGCTCCTCTTGCAATTGGAAGAATTAAAGAACCCTTTGCCCTGCTCAAGCCTGGGCATCTTTCATCCCAAAGGCCACATGGGGGTCCTGAAACTCATCTCCATGGAGGTGTCCTCAAAGCCCAGCCGGGGTTCTGGGTTATTCAGCTGACCCCACTTCCCTATGACCAGCCACCTTGGTCCTGCACCTCCTCTGGGAGACTAAGATTACCCCTAAGGTGGTAGCCCCAGGCAGCAGAGCCAGAGGGTGCTGGTGAGGTAAGGTGAGAGGAACCAGGGGCAGGCTGTTCTGAAGCTCCCACCATGCTCACTATCTGCTGGTCCTCAGGCGGAGTTACAGGTGAGTCTGGGGACCAGAAACTGCCCTAATGGTGGGCAGCAAGAAGGCCATGGCTTTCCTAGTCCACCTGATGGCCCTCCCCAATTCTGCCAGCCTTCTCCAATCCTATGCAACTTTTCCTTTTTTCAACAGTTTCATATCCTGTCCCTCCCCATTGCACAGCCTTAATCCTAAATTATAAGATTGTAAAAATAAAACTGGAGATAATTTCACCACAGTAGGGCCTGCCTGCCATGTGACCTCCAGACGCTAACCAGGAGCTTGCAGTTGACTCAGAATCTTCCCCTTGCTCTGGACAGTGGCCTCCTCACACACCAAGACCCCTGCTCCAAACACCCATACACCCCCCTCCCCTAAACAATCACCTACAGCACGAAGAAGACCTTGAGGAGCTGGTAATTCCAGAGCCTCAGCTCTTCGCTGCTCCTGGGCTCCTCCTCCAGTGTCTCCTCCTCACAGACAGCATTTTCTGCAATAAGAGCGCAGTTAGTCATCTTCCTGGGACAGCAGACCCCAGCTCAGCATGGGGCATGCCAACCTCCTGCTTCTCTGAAGCTGCCCAGGCTCTTGGCTTTCCCTATGGATTTGGAGAAAGAAACAGTTCTCAGAAGCCCGTTGGCAGTGATGACCCCTTTTCACAGAAGTGGGAGGAGGAGAAGCCTGGTCTTTACACGCTGTTACCGTGGGACAAGGCCCCTGAACTTACCAGACCCTGGAGGTTTCCTGGAGGAGAAGAAGCTGTCTGGGGAGTCCATGGATGCTGGAGGGATACAAGGGATGCTGTCTGGGAGGGACAGGGACCTGGAGGCAGGGCATATTTTTCTCCACTTCATCTCAGGGGTGAGGACTTCCTGCAGAAAAAGCAGGAGAAGCTGTCTCACCACAGCCCTTGGGATCTTATTTGCCCTAAGGTGCCCCCACCACTTTATCAAAGCTTTCTCTATATATTACCAACATAGATGCCTAGAAAGGCATGGCAGCAGGTACATGGGAAGGGGAAAACCATTGCCATAGCAATCACGTGTCTCTCCTATCTGCTTCCTTGCTGTAACCAGCTACTCTTCCAGGGAACAATGTCTTTGAAGACTGCTAGTGTAGATCCAAGACATGAGATCCAAGATGTAAGCCCACTGAAGTATATGGTCAGATCAGCTGAGTCTGAGAAAGCCCAGCACAACCTATCTTGGATGGGATAAGTCATGACTTCTAATCTGGGCTCTATGCCTAAGCATGTCACCGATCTTGGCAGTGGGCACTTAAGGTCCCCATCAACAAAAATGGGAACATCACCTTCTATCTCCCTGCATGGTATTGTGCAAGCTGTATGCTTGGCTGACTGCTACAGTTACTGAAGAAGGCTTCAAACACTCTGGGGCCATTTTCACCCCCATCCCTACTCTAGAAACTCAGCTCTACTTACCCCAAACCCCAGCTACCAAATGAAACTGCTGGGACCTCAGCAAATCTAAAATGAGTCTGTCTGGGTTCTACATTAATAGCCTTTGAAGTTCTTCCCCAGAGACATCTCTATCCCCTTAAAGGCCCTCCTGACTTTGCTGAAAGGAAGAGGACGGGTCACTGGCTCTGTGCCGGTACAGTGTGGGATTCAACCTGGACAGTGTTCTGGGGGCTAGACATCTGTTCTGCTCATAAAGTCAGCACACCTGCCAGGACCTGGTGGCTCTGCATGGTTGGAGTGTGGCAGGTCTAGGAGAACCCTGACAGCATGACTGCTGGCTCTTGAGCCTGGTTCCTTTGTTCTACATTGTGGGCCCTGCCTGGGAGGCCCTGAAGACAGAACCACAGGCAATCTCAAGCCAGCAGCTTTTGCTCCCAGCCTCAGCTCTCACCAGAGACTCGCACTCAGGTTCTTCTGAAAATTCTCTTACACTCAAACTCTTCTTGCTGGAAGGCTGAGGAAGAAAGGGAACAGAAGTTACTTGTCCTTCTGAAACAGCGAAGATCAGGCATGGGGAAGCATTACCTCCATTTTGGATCAGATGGAGCCTAGCTCCCATAGTTTGCAGGGGTGCCCTATCTAATGCTGGAGCAGAGGGTCAAATCCAAGGCAATCTACTCTCCCCTGCTGCTGCCCCTCCCCCTTTCTTACCATAGGCCAGAGAGAGCTATAGGCATCCTGGGGAGCAGCCCCATGCTCCTGACTGTCTGTCTATACACAGAAGAAGCACAAGTGAGGGCATCTACATGGGGACATACAAAGGCCACTGGCCTCAAAGAGACATGTTCACAAATACAGACACACAGTCCAAGGACTGCCTCTGATACACTGAGCCTGAGCCTGTCACTCCCCTCCCTCTGCCCCGTTCCCTGTGCTGAAGAAATGGGCTAGCCTCCCCAACAGCCTTGTCCCAACACTTCAGTCCAGGCCTGAGCAGCCTCCCTGGCCTGACTCCTGTCCTTGAACTCCATACCTGCAGGTGAGTGCAGACCCTCCGCAGCATGTCATAGACACTGTCCCGGGAGAGCAGTGACACAAAAACATACTGGGACATGGAAAGAAAACAAAGGGGTGGGGTGAGTAAAGACTTGAGAGTGTGCTGAGTCAGGCTGTGGGCTCCTGGGGTTCCGATGGGGAAACTGACAAGAGAGTGTGGCTCAGAGACTCACGGACCTTCTGGCTAGTGTTGGTGGTGATGACCAGGCCATTGGGAAGGAGGCGTGCCATCTTGTGTTTTTTGACCATTTGCACAGACACCACAGGAATGACCACCTGAAGGAGGAGAGGCATGCTTCTTTCAGGACTCATTCCCAAGGACATGGTCCCTTTGCTTCCAGAACGAGGCCCCAGCCCCAGCTTGCAGTGAGCCAAGCACGGGCACCATGGAGAAGCCTGGCCCCATGTGGGAGAGTGTGTGAACCTCCCCCTTCCCATGCGCATTCCCCTTCCCGTTACCCACACCGTGCCCAGCCTTGGCAGCACATGTCACTCCAGGCTTTCACCCTCTTACCCACGAGGCCAAGGATGGCTGTTCTGTTGAATCCCATGCTCTAATAATGGAGTTCCCTGAGCTATGTCCTGACCACAAGTATGGCTCCCCCTAAGTACGACATCCCACTCTGATTCTGAAGGCATTTCAGAGGCAGAATAATTTGGCTGTGAACTATTCAGACCAACTCAGGCCGATGTAGAGTCTATATTTGGGGCCTCTGTTTTGGAAGGGGTTGCATTGACACCAGGTAAGATGCCTCATAGCTGTTCATCCAACCAGTGAGGGGCCTCACCAGCATGCAGGAGGACAGGTGTGACTCAAGGCATGCCCGCAGGGCAGGGGCCTCTCTCTTTCCTGGGCTGGGCAGGGATCTCACTGGACTATGGCAGCCCTTACCACTCATTACTACCTTGATATCCTTGCCAAAGAGGCTGGCATGGAAGCAGAGCCAGTTGGGGGAGATATAGAGCCGACCCTGGAGAAGGAGGTCCCTCTGGAGGGCACAGGAGCACACTGGGAAGTCACAGGAGAGAAGACTACCATGAGCAAGGTCTGTTGGGAAGCCCCAGGGCCTGGGTCCTCACACTGAAGAGTCTAGAGTCCATCCTCAGGAACTGTCTTCCTTAGAATGCGACTTCCCAAATAACCCATCCTCCAGTACCCCAGGAGTCCTAACTGCCCCCACTCCACCCCAGCAGACTGCTAGATGTTTCCTTTTTCTCTATCCATGTCTCAAATGGTCCAGACAGGTTTCTGCCCTGGTCCCACTCAAGCCTGGATTCTCACTCCTTCAGGCAGAATGCCCTGCCCTGCCCTTTCCTGCCTACAGAGAGGACCCTGACTGTGCCTGACAGGAAAGAAGTGCCTGACTGATAAGAACAGAACAGAAATAAGATTTGGAAGCCCTTTAGTTTCCTCAAGAAAACTTTCATAAATTCAACTCTATATCCCAAACCAGTTCAGTCTTCTCACACTTTTGAAGGAAAAAGAACCAACCACATCCGAAGGGCAGCCGGTTCCCATTTCTAAATTGTGAGGACAGTACCTGGGCCTCAGGCACTACAGGCACCTGCCCAGGCATACCAGGGACACAGCTCACCTTTGAGAACCACCTCTTCCAAGGGGATGTCCTTGAACAGCTTGTGGTATTGCTGGTTGTATTTACTTAGTAGTGTCTGCAAACACAGGGGCTTGGGCTGAGAAGTCCTGGGAGATCACAACACAAAAGGGGCCCTGCTCCAGCCACCAGGAAATACTGCCACAGGGCCCCCTGGGGACTGAACATAAAGTCACTGGTAAATAGCCAGTGGGTGTAGAAGGCTGAGTTCCAAGCACAACTTGTCTCCTGGTAATTCTGGGTCCTAATAGGCAGCCTGTGACTGGAGGGGAATGCACCACTCCCACCCAGGAGGGACACCACTCATGTTTCCTGGTGGCCAAGGAGCCAGCAGTCACTGAATTCAGGCAGCCCAGGGCCCCTTTCTTGCTGGGCAGCAAGTAGTCAGCCTCCACACACTTACCCCTTCTCGACTGTATTTCTTTATCTCTTCACCCTTCAAGCCTTCTGGCCAGTGCAGACTGCAAAGGAGACATTCCATTCCAGGGACAAGGCACCCTTGAGTCCTACCCATGGATCCTCAGTGCCAATTCTGCCCTGGCTTCAAGCCAGAAGCTTGGGGCAGAGATTGGAGAGGAGTCCTCTAGAGGCCACAGCAGTGATAAGCACAGCAAGCAAATAGCTCGACCCTGGGGAAGGGCACTCCTGGATGCACAAAGGCGTCGCACAAAGGGGTCTCAGTGGCCCCTCCTCCCAAACAGCTGTGAGCAGTGTCCCCCTCCCTCCGAGGAGATTTGCTCAGCCTGAGCTTAGATCTCTCAGAGATGCTTAGGAGCCATCCACCCCTGGGTGTCAAAAACCCTTTCCTATTTCTCTGGCCAAGAGGTAAGCAGAGAAGCAGACCCAAGAATCACTGAGCAGTAGGCACAGGGATGAGGATCAGTTTGGGGAGTGGGTGATATGGAGGTGTCAGACTCACAGCTCCGGGGCCTGCCCATGGGCCATGATCCCCGGCAGAACGGCCTCCTAGCAGCCTCCTCCTGGTGGCCTGGAGCTCTGCGGTGCGGAGTTCCGCAGACTCACCTGACCTGAAGGAGGCTACCAGGCTGAGAGAAATGGGGTGGTGCTGAAATGCAAACCTTTGTCCTAGCCAAATTGGCCTGAGGACAGGTGGGCAGGGGAGGAGGCTGGTAACCTGAGCTGCCTAGACTCTGCTAGGTCCCAGTGCACTGGGTCAGGCCTGGGAATGGGAGGAAGAGGCCCTAGGCAGCCTATGCTAGACCTAACATCTTATCTCAGCCTTACAGTCCCATTTCTAACAGGTCACCTCCTGAGGACTTCCCACCCCCAATCCACATGCTTATCTGACTTGGGGAAGGGGGCTCACCTGGAGTCCAGGGTTGTCTGAACTCTGTCTAGTTTCTCTGTGCAGAACAGGGGGCTCTTCAGAGAAGTCATCTTCCTATGCATCTGTTGGTTGCTAGGAAGAAACAGGCCCACATCAGGAAGGGAGTTTTCATGGGGACACCTGTCTCTACTAGCTCCACCTTTCTCTACTGCCCGCCACCCAAGACTGGCCCTGCTATTTAGGGTGAGGTTGAAGACATTGCAGTCCGGAGACAGCAGCTCAGGCAGGGGGTTTGCGCAGCTGGCTAGGTGGGAGTCTTACTAGTTGTCTTCTCTAGAAGCCTGAAGGTCAGCTTATTACTGGGCCGGAAGAAAATCAATCTACGTCATCCGAGCACTAGGCAGTTAGGCCTCTGGCCCCAACCTTAAGAAGGCACACTGGGAGGATGGAGTCTGAGATTTATTCAAGGCTGAAAGCAAGTTTCTGAGGGACCCAAGCAGCATTATCCTAAACCAGGGGTGGGAAACATATAAGGCCCTTAAAATAATTTGGTCTGGCCCTGCCAAGGCATTAGGGGTGAGTTAATTAAATGTTTGACCAAATATAGCAGGCTAATTTTTAAGTTGATAATTTTGTATGGCCCTCGAATGATGTTATAAATATCCAAATGGCCCTTGGCAGAAAAAAAGGTTCCCCAACCCTGCTCTAAACCTCTGGGTTCATAGAAAGGACGCCAAACACAGGAGGCCTTATCAAAGCTGAGGAGCTGATGCAGCAGATGATGTGAGAGTGGACTCCAGTCAACCCTCAGGTTACGTGTGAGCTGGAAAGGGAGGGACTGCCTCACACCAGTAAGCCACCATTGGTTTTCTTTGAACAATCTGGGTAGCTCAGCCTGAAAGCCAAACCATCTCCAGAGAGGCCTGACTGGCATGGCTCAGTGGTTGAGCGGCATGGTTTAATTCCCGGTCCGGAGTTACAGCTCACTCCCTGGTGGGAGGCATGCAGGAGGCAGCTGATCAATGACTCTCTCATCACCAATTCTTCCATATCTCTCTCTCTCTCTCCCACTCTCTCTTAAATGCCCAGAGAGACGGCCCTGGAAGGAAGAGACACCCTCTTCCTGGGCAGAGAGGGCTAGTCCTTCAGTGGCCTTTGAGTTCATGCCTCCACTAAATGGCTCCAAACAATAAGGTTCCCTGCTTTCTGCCCCTCCAGGGAAGACAGGCTTGAAATCAATAACGGCTGAGCAGTCAAACTAGCCCCCAGACGGGTGGGCCCAGGGGCTGGTGGGAAGAGAGTGTGGCCAAGAAGCAGAGCCAAGGCAAGACATGCAGTGGTGGGAATAGCTAACAAAGTCCTGTGCTAGTCTCTCAGCAGATAAGGACCTAGAACCTGCACATCCCAGCACTCAGTTGCTCTCAGCTCTGTGACACAGGCAAGTCAAAGTTCTCTCCCTCAAGAACAGAGTTACAGCCCAGTGTTGTCCTGTACACCAAAAGGGTGTGGGTTCGATCCCCAGTTGGGGTGCGTGTGGGAGGCAAAACCATCGATATTTCTCTCTCCCTCTCCCTTCCTCTCTCTCTAAAATAAATAAAAACATATCATTGGGTGCGGATTTAAAACTACAACAGAGTTACAGACTCAGCAGAGATCTGCCAGGACCCTCAGAGATTATTTGCTAGCAGTCTGACCCCTTCCACCCTGCTACTGTACAGATTAGGAAATGGAGACCTTGCAGGGGACAGGCTGCACCCAATGTCACAACCATCTGACCTGATGACCATACCTACAAAATCAGCCCGGTCACAGCTGTAACCTGGTGAGCCTCCCTCAGTCTTATGGGGAGTTTTGATATAGACATCAACATGTATTTCCTGAATCTTGCAAAGTGACAGATTGCACTAGTGACTTGACCCTTTGCCTCCCAAAGTTAATTTTGGAATTTATCTGGTTCCATCATTTTACATTTCATGGAGGTTTTTTCCTTCCTTGGTTTTTTATTAATGCTCATTATAGAGCATTAATATAAATATAAAGTATAGAAATATGATCACCAAAATCACCCATGAGAAAAATATTCTCCCAAATCACTCCAAAATACATTTATGCATAAATACATAATTTATGTGAGTGGGATTATATGTCATATAATTTGTACACCCTATTTTTTGTTGTTGTTGGTAATCCTCACCTGAGGATTTTTCCATTGATTTTCAGCCAGAGTGGAAGAGAGAGGGAGAGACACAGAGAGAGAACCATCGATGTGAGAGGGACACATCAATCGATTGCCTCCTGCACACACCCTGACCAGGGTCAGGGATCTAGCCTGCAACCAAGATACATGCCCTTGACCAGAATCGAACCCAGGACCCTTCAGTCTGCAGGACGATGCTCTATCCACTGAGCCAAACTAGCTAGGGCTGTACACCATATTTTTGATGCTTAACATGATTTCATGAGAAATTCCCCATGTCACTGTCCATTTCTAAGATAGATTCTCAGAAATGAAATTAATGGATTGAGAATGAACATTTATCAGGCTCTTTAGACCCACTTCCAAAATGCTTTCCAGATGCTATACCAATTGACACGGCCTCAGCACTATATTAGGGTGCCATGTCCTTATATCCAAGCCCTACATTGGATATTATCTTTTTCTCATTTTTTGCAAATTTGATAGATGAGAATATATTGTTTCATTTCCATTTCTACTTACTGGTAGGTTGAACATTTTACCCCCAAATACTTATTAACCATTGAAATGTGAATTGTCTATAAGGATCTTCATGTTTTTCTTATTGATTTGTATAAATTCTTTTTTTTTCTTCCAATCCTCACTTGAGGATATGTTTATTGATTTTAGAGAAAGGAAGGGAAAGAGAGAGGAAGGGGGATGAGAGAGAAAGAGAGACATCGATGTGAGAGAGAAATAATGATATAAAATATAGAAATATATAAAGAAGGAACCCAAGGATTGGTTGTCTCTCGTATGCACCCAACCAGGGACCTAACCCACAACCTAGGTATGTGCCCTGACCAGGAATCGAACCCATGACCCTTTGATGTATGGGACGATGCTCCAACTAACTGAACCACACCAGCCAAGGCGATTTATATAAATTCTTTATTGAGAATATTAACCGTTGGTTTATCATTTTTGCAAAACATGTCATTTGCCTTTTAGTTTTGTCTGGAATTATTGCTATAATTATGTTTAATTTTTGTGTGGTAGATTCCATCTATCTCTTTCTAAATTTGTTTTAATTAATTGATTTTAGAGGAAGGGAGAGAAACATTGATTTGTTGTTCCACTTATTTATGTATTCATTGGTTGATCATTGTGTGTGCCCTGACTGGGATTGAACCCATAACCTTGGGGTATCAGGACAACTCTCTAACCAACTAAGTTTCCCTGCCAGGGCCTCCATGTGTCTCTTTCACCTCTGTTCCTTACTTGGTTTGAGTTCTTTGATAGGAGAGCCTTGAAGACAAACCACTGAGCCCTTAGAGAGCGTGGGCCCTGCAGCCCATGAGCCTCTGGGCCTCCAGGGACAAGAAGGGCAAGCTCCACTCGAAGGAACAACCCTCAGCCTGGAGACCAGGGGGTAAAGAAGGAACCCAAGGAGAAGGAGAGGGAGCTTGGCCCATGGTTTCAGAGGCAAAAAAAAACTGTCACACAAGCACTAAAGAGTGTGATTTGAGTTGTCAGGGCTGCAGGAGCTCAAAGGACACTTAGATCCCTGTTGAGTGACAGAGTTACAGAAGGGCTCCTAGAGAAAACGAAGCTGGACCTTACCAGCGGGGTAAGACCTTGCACATGGATTCCATAATCTAACTATGCATGGATGATACTGCCTTTGCATGGGTTCCAAACCACTCACCTTTGGGTTTAAATGTGACTGTCTTGGGGAGGGGAGGCTTCCCTCAGTCTTCCCCAGCCTAGCAAGGAGCCCTGCTGGGGCACCCGCCGCACCCTGATTACACCTGTCCTGTTACTGGAGTGCGTCACTGTCCATCTCCAGGGGCTTCAGGACCTCAGGGACTCTGCCTCCAAAACACTGAACTGCCTAAGCCTGAACACCAGCGTGCAGCAGACACTCATGCCATGTTTGAGGAATGGCTGGGAGAAGACAGTGTAGGCAAAGTACAGAGCAGGGGCTGGAGGACTAAGGCCATGAGAATAACAAAAGAAGGCTGTGCACATTCCCACTGCACCTCCGTGAAGAAAACCAGAGTAATAAATAGTGTCACTTTGGAACACACGACTTCCAAATATTTTTAAACTAAAAGCAGCCCCTTTACTTGTTATCCGTAGAATGGTTACAAGACATTTCTTCATGTTCATTCATGAGCCAGCCTTCCTGGCTGTCCTGATAAGGCTGTTGATAAAGAGACTCTGATATGGCTGAAATGTACTGCTTTCTATCTTTTTCTAAAAATACATTTTATTGGTTTTGTTTGTTTGTTTGTTTTTTACAGAGCGGAAGGGAGAAGGATAGAGAGTTAGAAACATCGATGAGGGAGAAACATTGATCAGCTGCCTTCTGCGCACCCCCTACTGGGATGTGCCTGCACCAAAGTACATGCCCTTGACTGGAATCAAACCTGGGACCCTTCAGTCCACAGGCTGACACTCTATCCACTAAGCCAAACCAGTCAGGGCTCAAAAAATATCTTTAACTCAAACTTTCTACTAAGTAGTCTTCACTCCTACAGTGTTTGTTTTTTTGTTTGTTTAGATAAGTGAAAATAAAGAAAGGAGAGTAAGGCCAGATGAGATTTGGGGCTGAGTGGTCACCTAGCATTCACCGGCAGAACCAGGCAGGTTGGGTTGTGGTGGGGGTAGAGGGGGGAAGCAAAGAGGCTTCAAGAGCAGGGAGGTGGGGGTGGGGGACTACCTTGGTCCCCTCACCCTGCGGCAGCCCCTGTCCATTCCCCCATAGATTTCCTCAAGCAAGTTTCTCTTACTCTGTGGACTATGAATTACACCTTCATCCCCATCTCATCTCCATGTGCAAACTGTTGAGTTAATAATATCAGAAATTTTCCAAGGAGGTAAAGGAACTGTACTTGGAAAATTTTAAGATAACTAAAAAAATTGAATAAGATACAAATAAATGAAAGCATAT